CCTTTGCCGGCAGCTGGACAATGCAAAGTGGTTATGTGAAAATTAAATTATGCCAAGGGCTTTGGCTTGTCAGCCTCAATAAATGTCTGATGCAGATGGAGACTCGTGCACCATCCACAGCCTGCAGGGTACGTGCAGGAGGCTTTGGGGAGGCCCCAGAGGACTGAAAATTATCTTACCTGAAAATTATCTACTTTTTACTGGCAGATTCTTTCAAGGAATTAAAACCATTCTCCCGCTTTTTTGTAAAAACTATTTGGTTAATTTAAATGAGGGGATGGTTAAGAAAAAGTTCTCTTTTTCTTCCTCTTGCTAATAATATTGAGTCGTAGAGCCAAGAAGATTGCTAATTTTGAAGTGTGCTGGATTGGGCTTTATACTGATTATGTTGCTATTGATTCAAACAGTCACAAGTCTTTAGGATCATTTTTAGAGCCATGGCCTGAGCAGGGCTGAAATGAAAATCAGTCTGAGATAATGAACAGTCCTGCTTAGAAATCATTAATGGGCTAAGCCGAGCCGGGAAGCTGAGAAGCCTGGGGAGTTAACACTTGCCTCGGTGGAGTGAGCGCTCGGTAATTAGGCAGCTCCGGGAACCTAAGGCTTTCAACTCCTGAGGAATGTTTGTCTGAGTTTGTCAATTCGACTAGTAACAAATGTGCTTTTGTTTGTTTGTTTTTGTTATCCCCCTGGAACCTGGACTTTGAAAAGAGCTTAATTGAGGACTAGGGGGTTTTCCTGTTGTTTGGTTTGGAGGCAAAGACCACTGGGTAGTGGATGGGAGGCTAGGATAGCAGCTCGCTTTCTCCTGAGAAATGGAAGGCTGCTTTCCCTGCATGCATGGCAGGGTCGACAGACTACAGCCTTAGGGCCAAATCTGGCCAGCTGATAGTTTTTGTATGGCCTGTGGGCTAAAAATGGCTTTTATATTTTGAACAGTTGAAAATAAAGATTAAAAGAGTAAAAAAAAATACATAATGTGAAAATTATATGAGTTTCAGATTGCCTGCTTTTTCAGTGTTCATAAATAAACTTTTATTGAAACCTAGATAAAGTTTTATTGGAACATCTGTTTGTTCACGTATTGTCTGTGGCTGCTTTCACACTACAACGAAGAGTTGAGTACAGTTGTCCCTTGGTATCCGTGAGGGATTGGTTCTAGGATCCCCTCCCCTGCAGATACCAAAATCCATGGATGCTCAAGTTTTTATATAAAATGGCATAGTATTTGTTTATAACTTACCCACATCTCCCTATATACGTTAAACTATTTCTAGATTACTAATAATGCCTAATACAATGTGAATGCTATGTTAATAGTTGTTGTATTTTATTGTTTAGGGAATAATGACAAGGAAAAAAGTCTGCACATGTTCAATTCAGACACAGCTCTCCATTTTTTTCCCAAATATTTTCTATATGCAGTTGTTTGAATCCATGGATTTGGAAACCGCAGATACAGAGGGCTGACTGTACTTGTGACAAAGACCATATGGCTCACAAAGCCCAAGATATTGGCTCTTGGTTGATAAAGTTTGCTGACTCCTGACGTATAGGAATGGAGGACATTACTTACCACCAAGAGCCTTCTCACTGGACAATCCATGTCCATGAGGTATAGTCCTTGTTAAATGCAAAGGTGTTTGGTCTAAATCCTGCCTGATAGGATGATTTGTAAATTCAAAAAAGTGGTAATGAAGAGATCCCACTTATAGCATTGGGTTAAATCTACTATATTTTTAGTATTTTTTAGGGTAGGTCACCAACTAGTGGATTGCCTTACTCCACTGAGGCACCTCATTCTGTGCTTGGCTTTTCCAATTTCAATCTCCTCTTCCTCCTCCTTCTTCTCCCTGTCATCTGAGTTACCTGAGAGGTTTCAGCCTGTTTTGTCAAGCTCTGGGTAGCAGAATCTGGCCATCCACTTGTTAAGACAAGCAACAGACTGGGCTGTGGCCAAGGCAGTCCGTGGTCCCCCTGTGTGGGCACCTGCATCTGCCTGGCTGCCGACGTTTGAATGAGAGGGCACCGGTGTCTGGGCCATTTGGGAGTTTTGGTTCCTGGAAGCCAGCAGGCACAGTTTGGAAAACACTGGCTGATTAATGACACTTGTTACTCATGGCCAGACTATCTAGTGGAGGGCAAGTTATATTACCCAGTGCTCACCTGGGTACCTTCCAAAGCTTCTGTTACTTCTATGTCACCACCCCTCGTCACCCATGGTGAGGAGTAGGGTCTTGGGAACATGATAAATGCCTGTTGACCAGGCAGCATCATTGGAGTGCCTCATCTTTGGAGCTGGCATGCAGGGAATGTTCTTGCACAGCGAGAGTTGAGGGAAAGGGCTCTGATTCATTGTCACCATTGTTTCTCTGCAAATGAGTCCAGTCACCAAATCTCTCTTCAAATGATTCATCTGTGCTGCCCTAGCCATGTGCCATTTTCACCTGCCTTCCCCACAAAAAACACAAAACTCCGAAACGTATAGATTTCGCAATGCTCCAAACAGCCCACTCAACCATGCGTAAGTAATGCAGCCACCAGAGACAGTCAGAGGACATGAGGAACACCTTCCCCACCAAACAAACCAAAAAGACAGCAGAGAGGAAAGTGCACTCAAGCACTCGACTTAAATATTTAAATCAAAATCTAACTCAAGAAGAACTGGTTTTAAAGACATAAAATATTCCTTTTGCTGCCATAAATTTGGGAGAATCCAGTTGCTCCTAAATGCCCAACTGAAGAATCTCTTTTTATTTAAATAGTGGCATTGTGAAGACTAACCAATCCTGTGAATTTTCTCCTCATGGACATGCAGACACAGCCTGATAGAAAAGGGCTATTTGGTTGCGAAAATTCACAGAAGAAATGTCTATTTCTGTTCAATGACTATAAACCCCCAAACTTCTTCCAGTGTTTTTCCCTAAGGAGGGAAAAATAAGGTCAATGGTTGAGTTTGTGTGTCCCTCTCCCCATGACTTCTCCTCTCCCTTTCATCCATCTCTTGTATAATTTCTAGGACTGCTGGTTTCTCGTCTGCAACTATGAAGTCCACTGTGGGGAGAAGCTAATCTTACTCAGCTTTAGTCCTTTCCCACAGCTGATGGGGAGTGCTTTGCACACAGTAGGTACACAGGGATAAGTGGGCCAAGAGTGGAGGCTGGGGAGTCTGGCCTTGTCTATCCCTCCGAATGACTCTGAGCAAGACACTGAATGTCCCAGCCTCGGATTACTCATCATGAAAACGCATCTCATGACAGAAGCCCCGACCACTTCACAGGTTATTGTGAGGCCCGAAGGAGGGAACAGAGGCAAAAACCACATTAGGAGGTGGAAAAAGCTGCATAAGACAGTTCTCCGGAATCAGAAGGTTGCAAAGTCCTGCTATAGATCTTCACTGGGTGGAGGTCAGACCAGAGGACTTGACAGTGGTCCCCTTCCTAAGCTGTCTGTTTTTAAGACACAGGGGACAGACTGAGCAGATTCTGAACTTTCTTTTGAACCTGAATGCCACTTGACTAGGGACCAGCTCTGTGCCTGTGCCAAACCAATATGGGATGGGCTTGGGGAGGGGCAGGAGGATGGGGACAGCTCATACACACTGAGGACAAAGAGGAACCTGAGGCACTCAAAACAAACATGTTCTCAGAGCTTGTGGAAGCCCTATCATGGCCTTAATTTTTGCCTGCTATTCTCTTGGCCACAAAAGATCACAGAGCGGTTACTATAGAAACAATTCTCCTCACAAGGTGTCCATGTTAGGATGAAGATGGAAAAGATTTCCTTATTAACGAAAGAAAGAAAGAGAAAGAAAGAAAGAAAGAAAAGAAAGAAAGAAAGAAAGAAAGAAAGAAAGAAAGAAAGAAAGAAAAAGAAATTAGGTTTTCAGATATATTCGCCCTCAATCCAAAGTATTTCTCCTTTTATGAGACAAAGAAAGAAGAAGCTGCCATTATTGCAAATATGCTTCACATTCCTAGCAGCTAAATTTCCAAACTTCCATTTTAGCCTCGGTGGAGTTCATGTGTGTTCTACTATGCCCAAGAAGGGTGCATTTTCTCAAGAGGGACAACAGTGTGTAATAGGAGATAAGGTACTATGAGGCTAAGTGGTGAGACCTCGCCAACCTCAGCGCTACCTGTGTCCTGGAGGAGCCCAGCCACCCCCAGCCTGCCTGCCATGAAGCCTAGCATGCCTTCTCATAAGCCCTTCTTCCTACTTCCTGGCATAGGCTTGCCATGGCTGTCAACTGGGACAGTATCGTGTGGAACGTGTCCTGGGTCCTGTGGTTTTGTGTGCAGGGCAGCCATGGGTTTCAGTGGCTGCCCAGGCAGACAGGCTCAGATGGCTTTGGCTGGGGACCAGCCCTGTTTGTGGACAAGGATCTATTCTTGGTTTCAGATTTTTCATATAAGCTTATGTAGCCTTACAAAGAAGCAAAGGGAAAGGCTCTCCAATTGGGGAGAGAGAGACAGACAGAGAGAAAATGCGTGTGCCTTTCTTTCCCTGTAAACTTAGCTCTGCCTCAACAAGGACTTTCCTTTAAAGTGTTAAGCACTAAGACCTTAGGTGCATGAAGTTCAACAACCTTCCCTGCATAAAGCAGCCTGGAGTCAGCGTAAGGAGGACTTGCTGGTCTGTGTGGAGGAAACGATTTAACCTGGTACACGCATAGGGAGTTGGAACCCAAAGGCCTTGGGGACACCGAGCCTGGGTAGGTGGGTGACATAAACCTTCTCCCCTGCAGAAAAGAGCAAAGGCAGAACTCTGCAGACTGGCAGACAGGATGCTGGGTGAGCCCAGGGCAGAAGATGTGGAGGCTACAGGACAAAGTCCACCCTGAAGTCCCTACTGATGACCACACTGGGCTTCTTGGAACTTCCCCATGGCTGGGACACAGGGAGTGCCCAAGGCATAAGGGTGGGTTGGTTCCAGGAGGCTGGAGAAGGCCTTCCCAGACCTGTCACAGAAATCAGAGGCGAGGTGTGATGGACGTGGGCATACATCGGGTTGGGGTCTACAAAACGGACACACAGGCAGGGCAGCAGGCCTCCAGGCACTAGTAGGGGAGGGTGGAGTCGTCCCACTCCAGCTGGGCTTGCCTGGCTCCACTCTGCCCGTGTCTGCCTCTGCCCACCACTTCCTCCTCCTCCTCATCTTCACTGTCATCGGAGTCGCTGCTGCTGGAGCTTATGTCTTCCTCTACTTCTTCTTCCTCCTCCTCCTCTTCCTCAGTCTCATCTTCCCCACGCCCTGGTACTTCATGTTTCTGGATGTCAGGGAGAGGAGAAAATACTCATCAGGGGCTGAGCAGAAGCCACTTTGTAGCTCATGTTTTTCTCTCCATTAAAGAAATGTTCAGAGCCCCTTGGAATCGCTTCTCTTAATGCTAAATCCTTGAGTCTGGAGACAGACTTTCTGGAGGGGAGGACTTCCGGTGAAAGGGAAGTTAGAAGGTTAAAGACAAAGGCCTGAGATAGCAGTAAATTCTCAGACAGGAGCTTGAGGTAAAATGTTGTGTGCAAATCATGGGATGGACATTTAAGCCAATCCCATCCATCATGCACTGAACCTCTCCGGTCAAGGCTTATTTTCTGGCATTTCTGGAACCTAAATAAATGGGGCCTTCCAAGCCGTAAGTGTTTGCTTCTCAGTGAGTCACTGGCATTTAATCTTGTGTCCCTTCTCCAGGTGAGAATACAATGTCCCTGGGAGCAGAAGGCCTTCTAAGCTAAGACTCAGATGTGCTGTCCCTTAAAAACATTCCTTTTGAAAGCATGAAGTTCATGGTCCTCCCTCTCCAAGCCTCCCCATCACCCCTGACTTGTGTCCTCAACTGTGCCCTACCCTTTCTGGTCCCATTCACACTCCCTCCAGCTTTGTGGTGATTCTAGCAAAATACTAGTTCTGGATTTATATTTTGAGTTGGTGAACCAGGCCATAGCAGGTGTGTTTCTTTGCTTGGCTACATCCCCTCTATAGAATATCTTCTCTTCTACCTTTGCCTCTCCCAAATTCTACCCACTCTTCAAGGCCTTCCTCAGACCAGCCTCCTCCAAGGAATCTTCCCTGAACATTCCCTCCCCAAAGGCTCTTCCTACTCAAGATTTTCTGACACTTGACATCACCAGGTCAACCCTTGTTAGGCACAGTTTTGCCTGGTCCTCAGACTGTTCCAGGTAGAGTGGTCTTGTTTTCCATACCTGAGGCTCAGCTCCTATAGGGTGAAAGTTCTGGAGTCCCCAGAGTGGTGAGTTCAGCGCTGTACCTACAGCACATGCTCAGAGAAACTGAGCCGTGTCAACACACTGGCTTTGACATTGGAGTGTAAGACTAGCTGAGGGGGAGCTGGGTACCAGGCTGGTATGATCATCCTGGTTATTTCCCGGTGACTCCTTCTACTCTTCCCCTGCTTTCCTAAGCCTGTATCTACCACCACCAAGGAACCATGGGCACAGGGCATGGTGTAGAGGGTTGCCCTTGCTAGGCACATGTCCAGAGCAGGGGCTTTGGACACTCATGGATGGATTCTGGGGGATAATTGGATAGATACGAACTTTAAGACAACCTTACAATTGAATATTGGCTGTGTGAGTTTGAGCACTTTACTGCTCTTCTCTCAGTTGGTTCCCACCTTGGTAAATGAGGATGATGGCTCCTGCTTCTCAGGTTGTTGGAAGACTGAATGAGGTGGTATGTATAGAGCACCCTGTACAGTGTCTGCCATAATGGGGCTTGATAAACAGTGGTGTTGCTGCTGTATTTTTGCTTTGATCTATTCTGAGCTTTAAAGTGAACTCTTCAGGTAGTATGGAGCAAAGCCATCTAATTCGCACTGTTAATTAATCAAAAATTCAATACTGAGTCCCTAAGTGTTAGTCAGCTCTGAGCTAAATATTGTGGGGGAGACAAGGGATAGACACCATATGGCTACTTGCTTTAAGAAATTTCTGGTTCTGTTTGTGGGGTGAGAGCAATTAATACATTTTAAATCAGAAAGTGCAGTTGTGGGAAAGTATGGCTTAGTTGAGAGGGTGGGAGCAGCTGGGAGATGGGAAGAATCAGCGGGGCTGGACTGTTGGGGCAGGGCTTCCAGACGGAGGGGCCCTCAGCCAGCTTAAGGCACAGGAAGGGTTGAGCTGGTGAGAAAAGAAGTACCCCACCCAGAACTCCCCGCACTACATGAGGATCACCTCCATGGGGTTGACTGTGATGGTCAATGCAGAGTCGTCCCAATCCATTTCAGTCTCCTTGGCAGCCTCAGCCTCCTGAATGAAGTGCTGGTGGGCGATCCGGACCCGGTACACGCCCATGGCCACGACGAACACGAGCATGCACACAGAGATGATGATGACCACCGTGGCGATGCTCGGGACCACTGGAATGAGGAGGGAACCCACATGCTGTGGTGAACAAAGGTCTAGCTATTCTTGTGATGGAACATAGAGGAAACATCCATGCGTAGGGTAGAATCTGCCCTACCACCTTTCAGTTGCAGAACTCTGAGAGTCAATACCTTATCCTGTCTGGGCTTTAATTTCACCAACTTTATAATTGACTTATTAATCCCTATCCTATGGGTAATTGTGAGGAATAAATGAAATAATCTACATGAGTTTCCACATAGACACAGAGTAGGTGCTCAATAAATGCAAATTCTCTTCTATCTCTGGTTTTTCCCCTCAAATTATAAGGAAGCACCCACTGACAGCCAGGCACTGTGGAGTTTAGTAGGAACAGACACAAGTGCCCGCCAGATGGTAACACGATATGGCAAGTGCTCGAACAGAAGTATGGGCAGAGGGCTTTGCAATACTGTGCATGTGTGTATGTGTGAGTGTTTGTAAGGGGTTCATGGCAAGCTTCACATAGGACCTGACTTTGAGTTGGGCCTGAAATGATTAGCAAATTTTTTCCCCAGCCCTTAGTGCAAACCTCTGTTATTATGTGTTGTATGTATCTTCTTGTTTACTTGACCGGCTGTGTACTGAGGCTGTGAGTGCCTCAGAAGCAGGGCCCACATCTTCTCTATTGCTGGATTCCCTCCCTCAGTTCTGGTCACGTATGGCTAGTGCAACTTACTGTCTGTTTCCTGGGTGGTCTGAGTCACAGTGACTGATGTCCTGAGGTCCCTCCTCTCAGATGGCCTACCTGAACTATGCTGGATGCTACTCCGGGCCTCAGGATGATGGACGGACTGGAGGAAGGGAGGCTGCACAATAAGGTGGTTGACATGTTCCTTGTCTGAGACTCTGACTTCATGGAGGACGCTGACCTGGGAAGAGCAGGGAGTGTTGTTGACCAGGAGTGGCAGGTGGGCCAGTTGCAGCAGTTCTCCTGAATAAATGAGGGAATGAATGGGTGAGCCTGGCTTCCCTAACAATGGCAGGGCCCACTCACCTCCACGTTGAACTCATTGCTAGTGTAGCGCCCATTGAGTTCCGAGCACTTGATCCGGAACCTCCGGGCCTCAAGGGAAGCTGGATGCCAGTTGCGATAGCGGATGTGATGCAGCACCTGCTCATAGCGGCTCATGGAGCCCACACCTGCGTCAAGAGTCCACATTCGTCAGCAGAAAGCAGAAGAGGAGGAGAAAGAGAAGACAAGGGAGACAGGCTGGGGCTGGTAGTGCTTGTGGGTCTCCTAAATTTGTCAAGGGTAAGAGCTTGAGATGTTTTGGGCAGACAAAATGTAGAAGCAGAAGTTCTAAGCAGCCAATTACATTGATCCACAGGCTTTCCAGAGAGACTGGGCTCTGATTAGAATGTTTGGCCTCCATCTGCCAAATGCTGCTGTAACATTTGCTGAGATCAAATGTTATAAGAGAAGGCATCCACCTACTTTCTACAGATTTCCCCAGGAGTGGGGATGTGGGACAGGTCCCCAAGCTGCTGGAGTAACTCGCCAAAGGAGGGTTTAGAAATCCGTGCTCTGAGGTCAGGGATCTCCACCCAACCCCTGGGGCTTCACAGTGCACCTCCATAGGCGCCATTACACTCATGACTCCCTGGACAAGGACGTTCTGAGAGGACTCCACTGGTGCAGAGGGGGCTGAGAGCAGCCTTACCATAGATGGAGTAGCCTGCAGTAGAATTAGTGGCATCCAGGTGTCGTTGGTGGAGCTCACTGTGGTTGAGCTCTAAGCATTCCTGCCTTGGGTCCAGGTCTCCTCCAAGTACCAAAATGTCACAGAAATCTAAGTTGTGAAGCATTTCTTCTAAGACTGCTGATTTGGGGGCTGTGGGAAGACAGATGCATGGGAAACGCAGGCATGAGGAACAGCTCAGACGACGGCCCTTGCTCACCATTTCCTCCTTTGTTATTACCCCAGGTTAAGCCTGGTCAGGAGAAAAGGCTATGCAATCCCAAAGACCACATCCACTACTCAGATGTCCAGGCAGCCCTGAAGTTGGATGGAATGAATCAGTGGGAGGAGCATGGATACTATAGTCAAAAGATGTGAATTTGAATACCAGCTCTGCTACTGAGAAGCTGCATGATGTGAGAGGATCTACCTACCACTCAGTTTCCTCATCTGTAAAGATGGCAAGGGTCTTGAGAGGATTAAACACATTGCAGTGCTCAATAAGCAACAGTTCTCATTTTGGGGAGAGATGAGGAGCTCTCCATCATGATGCTCTCGTAACTTTCACCATGGGGCCATAGTGTGTCTATCTGTCTCTCTCACCGGACTCTGAGGTTCTCGAGGGCAGAAGCACTGTCTTTTTATGACTGAATCCTTAGTGTCCAATGCAGGTGCTGGCATGGAGCAGTTACCACTACACATTGTGGTAGTGGGTCATTAATTAATTAATAACCAATGAAGTCAACACAATATAACCAACAATTAATAACTGGTTAATTAATTAAGGTAACATAACTAATTAATTAAAGTGCTTCCAGAACAGGACATTAGCAAGTTGGTCAGTCATGTCATCCTCGCCTGATTTTATGACTTCAAATTTCCCAAAGAAATGTCTGAGTATTTGAATGCTGGCCAGAGTTTGGCAGGCCTAAATTAAAATCCTATCTTAACACGAAGGTGACTGGTATTTATGGAGTGTGTGCTATGTGCCAGGCACTGTGCAAATGTAATCCTAATAACCAGACATTAAAGGGGGTGCTGTTATTACCCCATCTCACCAATGGGGAAATAGAGGGTGAAAGGGGCAGGGCGAATTGCCCCAGGTGACAGAGTAAGGGGAGGAGTCAGGGCAGAAACCATGTCTTCCTGGTCTCACAGTTTAGAGACACTTAACTTCTGGGCCAGTGGTCTTCAAATGTTGTTGCTCTTGCACCCCTTTATTAAAAAATTTGTGAACAGACATCATTAAAACACGCATATTTACTTATTTATAAAGTGGACTAAATATATTTTGTGCATTATAAAACATTTATTAAAATAGAATTTAAAAAAGGATTCATTAAAGATGAGTTATTTTAAATAATTATTTAATTTTGTTTAATTTTTAGTGATACTGAAAATATTTTCTGCTCTCGCTAGATATATATTATTGTAGATAATTTTTTATGCTTAATTTTTAAATGCTTGCCAACCACAGTGGTTTCGTATATTATCAGCAAAATCTAAAAGAACAATAACATACACTGGAGACAAGGTAGATCATCAACAATGGTGTGTACCTCTGTTTCCAACGGCCTCCTCACAGTTTCTGGGACCTTTTTGCCAGCTTCTTGTCAGGTGGGCCCTGTCATCCTGTTCCTATCTCCCGATGTGGCTGAGCGAGAGCTGCCACTTTCTCACTGTTCCCTTGCTTCCTGCTCTGTTGAAGGGACTGCGCTGGGTTCAGCGACCCAGAGGCAAATCAGCCATGGGTGAGCCCCTGGGGATCTCTTGGTCTGCTTTAATAAACAGATAATCACTACTGACAGCCAAAAAGCGCTGTGTGCTTAGGGGAAGCCCCAGCAGCTGGCAGCATCAGGATGGGGTGTGGGGAGACTTCTGGAGGAGGTGTTGAAGGTAGAGATGTTTGCCAGCGATCAAGAGGTTGGGGAGGGAAGGGACCTTCCAGCCAGGAAGCAGAGCAAAGGTGTGAGCTAATACCATGTGTGAACGAGAGGGGTGTGTGCTTGTGTCTATGTGTCTGTGTGTGTGTGTGTCTGTGTGTGTATCTGTGTGTGTGTGTGTTGGGGGGATCTCCATCTTTGGTGCTGAGACAGCACAAAGAGCGAGTCAACAGCGGCAGAAGATTACAAGATGATGCTAGAGCTGGTCGCTGAGGTCTGGTGGCAAATGCCATTACCCTGCTTATTTAAGAGACTCATAATAATGATTATTCTAACAACAATAAAAGCAAAAATTTAAAACTACTAATAATAGCCATCGGGCACTTGGCTATGTGCTCTGTGTGCACCTCTCATAAACAGAAGGTGAATGTGGTCCCAGATAATTGCTTTCCCTGCATTGCCTGTATGCTGGTGTCAGACGCAGCAAATCGGGATGCTCTTGGTTACGGCCGCAACCACTGAGGTCAGAGGCCCTTCTTTTTTATGTCTGATTTTAGCCACAAATGAGGACAGGGGAAAAGGGAAGATCACACAATCTAATGCACCTTGGTCTGTAACTAGGAAACCACCCTGCCTGGACAGGTGGTAAAACACCATCTATTTTTATGAGCTAAGAAGGGCTGTCTCTTGAGCACCCCATACACTAGGGATCACGGCGGTTTAAGGCAGTGGGTAATTAGGATTATTATAGGAGCCGCTCTTCAGGAACTCAGGCCCAGTGACACCAGCACATCATTAGCAGAGGCTTTTGGAGGGGCAGGGGACAGTTGAAAGCTTTCTCTTGGATGAAGAAGAAAAGAATGGTTCTCAAAGGCATATTTTTCCCTAAAGACCTTGGCCCCTCTGAGTAACGAAAAGGTTTTTCTCCTTTGCTCTCTCCCTCCTTTTCCTGTTTCCTTCCTTCTCTTCCCCTCTCCCCAGCATATACTATAGCTTTCAGTGCAACTAAGTGTTTCTCCCTGGCAGATAATTCAAATTACTCTACTTTTACTGAGGAGCCTTCACAGTAATGGAACTGTTGGAAATAACTAGAAAGTGTCCTGAAAGCTTACAGTAATATTGCTAAGTAAGACCTAACGTTTAATATTAAAAGAAGATGCAGCTGTATTTTTTCTTTTTGCATCTTTAGCTTTTCTTGATTATCAGAATATATGTGCTCACTGCAGAACATTTCTGCAGTTGTAGAAAAGAAAAGGGAAGCAGAAACCACTTGGCTGTCCCCGTGCTTCTCAGAGAATAGCACCGTTAGCCTTAGGTGTGTGTTCTTCTTGGCATTTTTCTACGTATTTTTTTGAGATCATTCTATGTGTAGATACTATGTAATTTTGCATCTTGCTTTTTTTCACGTATCACTTAGCACAAATGCCTTCCCTCCAACCTCCTATCACTTGTAAGTTGCTAAACCGTTAATTGCCCTCCTGTTGTTCATTTGGGTTGTTTCTGCCTTTGTTTGTTGTTTGTTTTATTATTGTACATTACCCTGCCATGGTGAACAATGCTGCTGTCCTGAAGGATGATTTTACGTGGCAGTAAAGAATTAAAGCCCACCTTCCCCACAACCCCAGATGCACCTGTACCTGTGGTTTTCACGTCCCCAGGGGCCTCGGCTTTGGCGAAGGTGCTCACGATCTTGATGTCGGGGAAGAGGACCACTCCTCTGGCACTTTCAAACTGGGTGGCAGGTCTCCAGAAGCTGTCTGTGCCCCGGAGGGTGATCCGGGGCTCGATGGCCTGCAGGACCATCACATAGGCGTCTATGTCAGGGATGCTGATGCACACATCTTCCCCAAAGCACCTGGGAAAACAGCTTCGGTCATGGGACTGATGAGCAAACGATTAAACCACCCATCACACAGTCACAGACAAGGAGCTGCTACCTCTAGTCCTTGACAAGGCATTCTGACCACCTAAGAGTCTCTGATGATGTCAACAGACATTCAAATTTAAAGCCACATTATAATCGAAACTGCTAGTGATCTAGGGACTTAAAAGATTGGCTCCTGGGAGAAATGGGAATTTTCTATATGAACAACAAGTAACCATTAAACCTTTCATCATCCTTTAACAGGGTAATCAATGGCAACCTTAATTAAATAGCAACTGCTCGTTATGTGCATTGGTATTTGGTAAGCAAATTGTCTGACTGGTTGGTTACAGCCATCTTACTGATTGAGACCCCAGGGCTAAACTCTCCTGCCTCAGCGTATATGTTATGTCTCTACAAGGACATCCCATAAGTGCACCTTTTCTAGGTGTGGGAGCAGAGTGCTGTTGTAAGCACCCTCCTTTTTCCTGATACATTGCTTCAAAAGTATCTGGGAGACAGAAATGGTGTGAAAACAAGAACAAGGCCTGAGAAGTTAGACAAGAATCCATGGCCTGGCTCTGCCACGCTTGGGCTGGGTGACTGTAGACAAGGCACTTGACTCCCGTGAACCTCAGTTTCTTCATCTATACAACAGGATGACAAGGACTGCCCCACAGCAATAAGCTTTGAATGCAGACAATGCATAGAAAAGGAGCTGAGCATCGTGGTTTCAGCTCAGTAAATGCTGGTTGATCTGACCCTCTCATCAGACCTCATCGGGGGCATATGTGTCATCGGCACTCTGCTGGTCATCTAAGCCAAAAATGTAGGCTAAACTGGGGGGCACTGGGGCCAGACAGATGCTCTGGGAATGCTGGGTAGGCTCCAGCTGGTGGCAGCGGTCACTTTGGGCAAGTTCCCGGGGGAGGGGTAGTCTGGGTGGATCCCATGCACAGCACTCCAGCCTCTTCTGTGGGGTGGGTGAGATGTGGGAGCTGTGCCGGGCTCCTGCTCCAAGTTTCTCCTGCCTCTGCCGTGCCAACCCCAGGGCGCTCTCCTCCCCTCACTAGTTTACAGAAGGCTGGTCTGGAGCTGGACATTGTCCCATCTGGTCCCTCATCTTCACTCTAAAGTGGTGCTAAACTGGGGTGCCTGCTCCCTACCCCCAGGCCTCCAGGGGTGGGAGTAGCCCCTCTACTGCTCTAGAAATATTGAATGTAACTGCCACCTGTGGGCTTTATCTGGCACCTGGCCCAGGCCACAACAGACCCATCTTCCCCACCCTTGTTCCTCTCTTTCTGAATCCTTCTCCTGGCTCTAGTGCCACGTAGCTCCACTTCCACCTCCCTTCTGGAGTCCCCCTCCTAGCTGCACTCTCAGGTAGCTGATGTGGCTAAGAGGTGATTCCACAGGCCGGTAAGTGTGTTATCCAAAGGCTTTAGTAATAATCTCATCTCATTAATTTAACTCTGATCCCTGGGGACAAGAATCGTGCCCTTTTTCTGGCATATTTACAGTACTCAGGAACTCTACCAGGCTGGGTTGGTTAACTTAATTCAGTTTAATAAACATTTGTCAAGCACCTACTATGTGCCAGGTGCTGAGCCCTTAAATCAGACCACTTCAAACCCAGCTCTCTGAGAATTTATAGGAAGAAGCACCTTCTGGGCATTAGATCAGACACAGAATAAAATAGAGAAAGGTGGATTTGAGGTGTCAAAGAAACAGAACATTTTCCCTAAAAAATAAACTAAAGGAGAACAGAGATCCATCGAGGCACCCTCACAGGGACAGCAGAGAAGGTGAGGACAGCTGAGGAACGGCAAATCCGGTTTGCAAGGGCACATTCCCAAGGGACCGATCCTCTGCCTCAGCTGGGCCCCAGGCTACCCTCGTCCACTCACTGGACTTTGGAAGAGACTTTGAGGCGCCGCACACCCGCCGTCGGGAACTGTCTGGAGTTGATGTAGGAGACCTTCTGGAGGGCACGGTTAATGTTCCCAACATCGTCGCCTTCCATCACCAGCGTGGACTGCGAGGGGTTGAAGTGATACTGGAAGACAGAAGTAGGTATCACGGGAGAGAATGGTGAGAGATGCACACAGTCCTGTGGAAGTCCCCCATCTCCATGAAAGGGCCACTAAGGCCAGGCCACCACAGGCATGGGCAGAGCATCCACAGGTGAAGCAGTTATGCACACAAATGATTGTTTCTAACCTCTCAAGCAATTCTTGCTACTCTCTGGTGGGCTTCGGGACCCTTCCCTGTGAGATTTCCCCAGGGATGTTTCCTGGTAATATCGGCCTAAGCCACAGGATCGGATTCTGAAAACCAAGTGATGGTGCTCTTGCAGCGCAGCCTTTGGTGGGGTGTGACCTATTCTCTGTGTTCCCTGGTGGTCCAGCAACTTCTAGCCCTTGGACTACTCATGCCCTCAGCTGACAGCTCAGAACTTGGTCTTGGCTCTTTTTGCTGCCCTTGTGTTTGGCCTCAAACTGCTCCCCAAACTCATCCTCCATGCCATTTCCTCACTCGTGCCCCATCTTCTTAGTTTCCAACCTTAAAGTTATTTTCCAGTTACTGGCTTTCTCTCTCTCCCAGATCCGATTCTTTGTCTTGCTTTCCTAGTACTAAACTCTGGTTGTCCATGAGTTCTACTCGCCTGCTGCTTACACACATGCCAATGGCCCTGAGCATATCTGTCCATTCTACCCTGAGTCCCTGCTATCTCATACTGGTGAAGTCCGTGTGCCTACAATGCTCCCTGCTGAGTCCCCCAGGTCCTCAAGCTAGATACAGCCTCTTGCTCCTCCCTGTGTTCCCCCAGCAGTTATTCTTCTTAGACTGGAATAGGGAGAACAGCTTTTGCACTCCTCTGAGTTGCTGACCTTGACACTCTTCTGAGCAAGAATTATTAGGAACTGCTATCAATAACATGTCAGGAACATATCTGTGGATTCAGATCATGTCTTGAATGCTCATGGCACAGGAAGGGAGACATAGATATATTTTTGAGTAGCTACCTGACTTAACAATTATTTACTTTTTTGATTAGTATATTCACATGTATGTTCACATATGTTCAGATGTATATATGTGCTAAGTGAAAAGTGTCCATCTTATTCCTATCTCCCATCCACCTAGTTTTCACAATCCCATCATATAAGTAATCACTATTATACTAATTTCTTAGTGGCAAATTGCATTATTGTTCATGATTAGTTGCCTCCCCTCCCATGGGAGGCTTATACATGCCAGCCCTGTTGTTAACAGGCTTGGTCATGTGATTTACGGAATACTTTCCTTCAGCACATACATTTTTGCCCTGTTGCACACAGTAGTGGTCATGTAACTTGCTTGGTCAATGAAATATGGGCAGGAATATTATTTGGTTCACACCTATATGGAAGATTTAATAACCAGTTCATGGTTTGCCATGTTCCTTTCTCTCTGCCATGAAACTGGCAAAATTCTTTTAGGGGCTAGTCCATCAGCCTGGGTTTCACAGTGAGGGTGGTATGAATCAGAGCTTCAGCCAATCTGTAATGGATGTGAAGCCTGAGCAATAAATAAAATTTGTTGTATAAGCCACTGAGATGTTAAATCATTTGTTATTATAGCATCACCTAGCCTATCCTGACAGTTATACTTAAGCATTCTTATAAATACATAATCAGTGAATATAGATTTCCATTTTTCTCCTTTCTTATACCAAAGGTATCTCATTACATAATGTATCATACTTTACTTGTTTTACTTAGCTTATGTTTTGGAGATCTCTCTGTATCAGTACATGACAAGCTTCCTCATTCTTTAATAGATGTAAAGTATCCCACTGTATAGATAAACTGTAATTTTTTAACCAGTCTCCTAATATGGACATTTAGGTTATTTCTGATCTTTTATTGACAATGCCAGAGTAAACAATCTTGTACACATAACATTTCAGAACTGTGTGAATATATCTGAAGGACAAATCCCTGCAAGTAAAATTGCTAGGTCAAAGAGTATATACACTGTTAACTTTGATAAATGTTGCCAAATTCCCCATTCCTAAGGATTATAACAAGATACACTCCTGACCACAGGGTGTAAGAGTGCCTCTTTTCTTAACACCACAATAACTCAGTATTCTGTCAGACTTTGGGATTTTTGCCAATCTGACAGATAATAAATGCCATCTTCATGTAGTTTTAATTTGCAGTTTTCTTACCATGAAGGAGGCTGAGTGTATCTTTTCTAAGGTTTAAGGAAAAATCTATCTGTCAGCTTTTCCCTGATACGACTTGAATGTCCTTATAAGGGTGGTCTGTTGTGTGTCTGTGCCCTAACAGGAAGTGGATGTCTCTTGAGCACTATTGATGACATTGAACCACATAAGTCCCTTGCATGGCATCCCCTAGCTAAGTGATAGATCAATCTGTGTCTCCCTTGACTATCATGTGAGTGTTTTATTGTTACCTATTCCTTAAGGCCTCCTGGCTTCTCTCATTTTGGTCCCCACTGGACTTCGGTGCCTTTCTCCTTACAGCACTTATGAAACGGTAGCACCGCTCTTACGGTTCAGCGTCCAGGAGCTCACTGAGCACACGGACTCTGACTGTTACCCTCGACTCCCAGAACCCAGCCCTGGTGTTCCGAAAGCCCCTGCTAGATGAGTGAGCCGATTGTGCCCTGGCCTACATTTTACTCAGTTCTGTCGCTTCTCAAAGTAACTCTTGTTTTTCTGTCCCTTACCTTTTCAGTCGAGTTCTATGGAGCCATTCATAATCAGTCCTCACCAAACACTATTCTCCTTCCTCCACTTCCCAGCGGCCTTGGGCCCCAAGTGGGCAGGGCCATGTGACTACCTCAGGCCAATGAGACGTGACAGGAAGTGATGCGTGGCACTTCCTGGCTGAGGCGGTGAACCGCCCTGTGGGAGGCTCCAGCCTCTTTCTCCTTCCACTTCAGTGACCTGCAGCAGGGTTCTGGGCAGAAAACCCAGCCCAAGGCCCTGACTGAGTGTAAGAGAAAAATAAACTTTTAAGCGTTAAGCCATCGAGATTCGGAGTCACTTGCTACTGTAATCGCTTGGTCCATTAGGAAGAATTCAGCACTCCCCAGACCCGATTCTCACTGCCCCAGGGTGATGTGGCATCTTTGAAAGACCGTGGGCTTTGTGGACTGTCATGTTCCAGTTCCAGTACAAGCAGCCAAGCAACTATGGACTACAGTGTGCTGCAACTATATACTTTCCCTTTCTGGACTTGATTTTCTCATTTAAATAATAGGGAAATTAATATCCACTGCTTTGGGGCTTAACTGACAGTATATATGAAGTTTCTGGCACGTACAAGGTGTTCAGTATATGACAGCTTTGATGATAATTCTGACTGTGGCAACAGGTCTGCACTGAGTCTTTGTGTGGTGCCCCTGCCTCCACCATTCTTCTCTCCCTGTGACCCAACTCCTTTCCTTCCAAGCAGAGAGAGCAGTGTCCCTCCGAATGGCGATATCTGGCCACAGGCCCCACACCCTGGTGCTAGATCCTGGAGCGCCCAGGCTATACATGGCTAACGCTGTGGTCACTGTCTGGGTTGGTGTCTGTCTTGTGGGGAATGCCTCACCAGCTTAGGGTGCTCAGCCCTGGAGCTGCCCCACACCAGTGAATTCTGATTAGTTCTGAGGGGTTCCACAAATTATCTGCTTCAGACTTGAAAAAATTCAAGGTCATTCTTCTAAAAACACCATTTATGTTCCAAAATGTTTTTCTGCCCCTTTTTATTGACCCCCTGCCCCACACCATCCCTCCTATAGCAGAGTCTTGTGGTGCTGTTGCTGTCTGTCTGTGTCCTCCAGCAGACTGCAAACACCTCGAGGGTAGGTCTACTGACTTGTCCTCAGCGTCACCTCAGGTGCTAGCATGTGGAAAGCATGAGGCAGATGAAAAGGCCTGCAAAGGCTGCTGATCTCTGAGCCTCACATGAGGGCCGAATGGGAGAATCAAGAGGTTTTTCTAGAGGGATGGATTGGCAGCATCCTACGGCAAGCAGCAGAGGGCACAGTCCCACTGCAGCCACCTGGACAAAGGACGGGGCAGGGAATGTGCTGGATCTCCAGTTTATACCCTGGTCTGGCTGCCAGAGCATCCGGAGGGCTGGCACAGAGCATGAAGGTGGGCACTGGCCTAGCCACCAACATTGTTCTTGCAGGATCAATAAAAACCTCCAAAGTAGGTTTTTGGGTTTTCTTTTTATCTGCAGCATTCTCAGCTCTGTGAATGGGCCTCTGGTTATGCAGAAGACATATTTGTATTGGCATCTCCACAGGGGCAGGAGATGGTGTCATGGTGGGGGCCCTGGCAAAGGGTGACAGTGTTCACTCTCCCTTGGGAATCTGTGCACAGTGATTTCTTTTTTTGAGCCAAGAAGGTGTTAGACAGATGGCCCTTGCAGAATGGTCATCTCTCTTAGAGGCTTGACCTGTGTCTCTAGCCCCCTCGCAGGCTGGACCATCAGTGAAGTCCCTGCTAAAATCCCTGGCCTGTCCTTTGGAGGCAGGTTGCTATGGCTCTCCAGGTACCTTGCTGTTCCCTCAGGTACCTGCCAGTCTCTCTGGGCTGGGCCAGATGAAGATTTGCCACTTTAGAGGCTCCTCAGTTACAAAAGGAACTGTGATTTGTTGACAGCCTACTAGGTTTGCTAGGGGGATATATAAAAAATTCAATTCTTACATCACTACAAGATAAATAACATAAAGTCCATTTTGTACATGAGATGTTGGAGCTTAAAGGATTAAAATGTCTTGCCCAAGGTTACCTCACTAGTAAATGTTGGTATTATGATTTGAACCTAGGAGTGTCTTGTTCCAAAGTTCCTGCTCTTTCCTGCTCTCCCACCCAATGGAGAAGACAAATGGGCAGGGATTGTGCTATGAAAGTCAGGACAGGAGATTGTTCAGGAATGTGGCTATTGCATAGTGTCTTCTATGGATATAAGACAGCAGCCACCACAACCACTTCAAGACTCTAGACACTGGAGAAATATTCAGAAATGTGCACGCTCCAGAGGAAGACAAGTAAAGCAAGGAACCACGCTGGGCCTGCAAGCAGACAGAGAATTTCCTTAATTGCAGGAGGGCCTCCTTCTCTTGGCTAGCCAGAGATGTGGGAGGAGGGCAGTGACCGGCAAAGAAAATAATCATCATTATTCAGAAATGACATGAGGGATACATGGAGGAAGGGAAGGAAGGAAGTTGGTTTAAGTAGTGTTTTTTTTTTTTCCCCTCCAAGACAATGCCCAGGTAAGTTTAAATAGTTTTCAAGAATATCTTCTAATCTGAGTTGCTGGAGTGGAGGAAAGAGCACGGACTTAATTTGAACAAGTCCCCAAGCCCCAGTCCCCTTATTTTTGAAATGGGGTCATGCCATTTAATTTGTTGTGAGGAGCAGGGATAATGAACATAAAATAGACCCCAGTGGGTGCTCTGCAAATTGTGTCTCACTACTTCTCACGTGGCGCTCCAGTTCTTACCACCCACGCCCTGGAGATGGAAAAGGACCACTTGCAGTGACTGGGTTGTGAACAGGTAGCATCTCAAAACGTCACAGGAGCCTCAGCCCCCACAGTTTTGTGTGCCACTTATTTTAGCACCGCCGCCTTTCGTAGGCTATGACTACTCTGTAGAAATTGCTATGGTTCTTCATTTGTAATTGTAGAAATGTGTGGCATTTAAGTTCAGCATCTTTAGTTTTTCACTCTGTAGCGCCTGGAACCCTGAAACTGTGGCCTCCTGGGATGGTTCAGAGCAGAGAAGATTCACTCAGAGGCAGGGAGTAAACTTAGAATCACAAAAATAGGGGAGGGTGGAAGGATGCATTTTTGTATGACTGGGTTGACAAAACCCTAAGGAAACAACAAACAGTAGGTCAAGACTGGCCTTTCCAATAAGAGGCTATCTCCTGAGCTTCCTCCCACGACAGGTGATTAGTTATCGAGAGCGTGTGTGTGTGTGTGTATGTGTATGTGTGTGTGTGTGTGTGTGTATCTAATCCATGTTAAACAATGTCTGGAACGTCAGTCTTGCCCTGACTTTTATACTCCTCCCTTCCTCTCTCTGACCCACTCTCCAGAGTGCACATCCCAAACCCCACGTCTGCCAAGTTCATGCTCCCTTGCCTTCAATGGCTCCCCTTTGTTGAAAAAAAAATGTAAACACTTAAATGTGGCTGACAGGCCTCCTGATGTGGCCTCTGCCTACCTCTCTGGTCATGCATTCCACCCTTTTCCTCCTGAAACTCGGCACTCATAAAACAGGCTAAGTTCTAGCGCATGCTGTGCAGTTCTTCAGTCCTCCCTCATCACGCTCACTCATGGATCTGCCCAGAATGACTGCCCACTCTCCCACAGACCTCTACCTCTGCCTTTTTCCTGGCTAATTCCTACCTATCTTAAACTTTCTGTTCAGGCTTTACCTCCTCCAAGGAGCCTTCCCTGACTGCCATTCCCCCAGGTTCTGGAGCTCTGAAGTGGGACTGCCTGGGTCCAGTTTCTGACTGCCTATCACTGACGCTGGAATTTTAGACACTTTTCCTTTCACCTCGGGCTTCAACTTATATGCAAAATGGGAATATTCACGGTACCTTTGTCTTAGGGGTGTCCTGGGGATTAATACCCAGAAAGCGTTTAGAACGAACAGTGCTTGGCACTTGGGAGACCCTGAGTAAATGTTAGTGTTCATAATCTTTGTAGCAGTCATCAACTGGAATGCAAGTGTCCACTTGGGCCATTGAGTTCCTTGAAGACCGTAAGCTTAGAACATTCCTTTTTGTATCCTAGGACCCTGCCCAGAATAGAATAATTGAGTATCCTTGGAATGCTTACGGAAATGACTTTGATTTAAAGAACACCATGATGTGCTCAGACCACCAGCCCCTCTGAGGATACCCAGTGTCAGAGCCCTGCCAGCAGTAGGCCACTGACAGGGGGATCTCTGTTGGATGGGTGACTCCCTGTCCAGAAGAGGCAGGCCCAGGGCAGGGAGGGCGGGGCTTCTTGTGTAGAACTGGGTCAGGGATGGGAGGTGAGCTGGGAAAACTCTGCTTTAGTCTCATTCCTTGCAGAAATGGCCAAGGAGGGAAACCCTCACAGCTGCGAGGGCCTTATGGGGCCCAGGAGGCAGAGGGTGGGACGTCCTGACTTCCAGAGAGCAGGCTGAGGGGCTTCCTTCTCACACAGGGTCTGTTATGATTGAGTGGGGGCTACAACAATCTTGACTCTGCTCTTCTTTCAGGCACCCCTGTCAGTGCTGGCACATGCTCCTTAGGTCTAGGTGAGGCTGGAAAGTAACGTGCTTGTCAGGGAGGTGCTTGCTAAAGCCATAGTTAGTCACCTCCTTCCCTGCCCCTTTCAGGAGGGGCTTTTCTCAGAATTTATAGCTTTGATGCTTTTAGATCACTTGAATATTTTTATTTTGTACAAACAATAAAAATCACGAATCCGTTCATATTTCTTTTGACTGCCAAAGATTGTTTGGAGCCTAATGTCTCAGTGTAACTATGTAGGGCACAATGACCTCCGTGCCTGCGTTCTAATTGCACTTTACCGGTTTCCACCTTCCCTTCTAATTTGTATTTTACAGGGTTCTAACTTTTATTTATATTTTATGCTTTTGAAATGCATCCTTGCATGCTTCAGTTCCTTTAGGCAAATAAATAACAAAGCAACCAACCAACCCACAAACAAGTGCAATATAACAACTTCCTCCAGATAGACCTTGCACACAGGCCTACTTTGTATAGTGGACTGATTACACACAGAGCCTGATCTAGGAGGTTCGGGAGCTGGCAGCAGAAGTCCACTGTGGCAGTCATGGTCACTAATCTCCCCCCATGGCAGCACCTTTGCCATGGAGCCATTTCTGTGCAACATTAGAAGAAACTCTATTTCCTGATGCGTGCTGGCATGGGGCAGGCTCAGCCTCGTAAATCAACGTCTTATTGAGGGTAACGCCAGCTACTTCCTTACCTTTATTCCTTGGCCAAGGCTTTCCAAGGAATTAATATCCAGCCCTTCCTTGCAGGCCTGCAGGCAGGATATCACCTTCTGGCTTTCCATTTTTCCAGGGCGGATGGTGAGACTGGCCAGGCTACCATGGAAGAATTGAGCAAACCGAGGTTTGGTGACTTCTCCTCCTGAAAGAGAAAGCAGCATGGTCATTTGTCCTGTAGAGCCTGGGTAGGAAACACCACCTCAAGGCACCATCTGGCCATGGAGCCAAAGACATCTTGACTGGGTGTCTCCTGATCCTGAGCTTTTCCTTCTGGCCGATGAGCACAGGAGATAGAACCTCATCAAGGGATATTATGTGCTGCTAACACCCTGGAACTCCCTGGATACACCAGATTGAGGAATCATAGCATTTCTGAATTTTAAGTTACTTTCAGGGGCATACGTCTTAGGAGACAGGAGGAGTCTGCAGAGTAAACACAGGAGGCAGAAAGCAGCTATCATTGATTAAAGGCCTGCTGTGTGCTAGTCCCTCCGCCAGGGACTTCATTTGAATGAGCCTACACGGAAGGTATTATTGCTTCCAATCCACAGGTGAAGACCCCTGAGACTCAGAATGGTTAAGGTACTTGCCCCAGGACACTTAGCTAAACACTGAAGCTGGTGCTCTAGTCCTGGTCTGTCTGACTCCAAAGCTGGCATTTGCTTCCCTACATTCCACTGAGAGCTTGGCATGTAATGGAGGAATCCTAGAAACACTGCATTTACCAGCTCTGGCTTTCTCTCAATGTGTTGATTTCACACCTGCTCAAATTCAAAGCCTTTGGCATGAAAAGATTTTCCTGATTCTGTTTCTATCTTTGACTTTCCTCTAATCACCTGCTTCCCATCTTCTACCATTCTCTCTACTGGCTGTGCTGAGTCCCATGGGAGATTGGGTCCACTCTTACCCATGTGCAAGTGTTCAAAGTGCTCATGTCGCAAAGCCAGCCTGAAAGCCACTCCCTCCCCCTTTGTCCCTCATTTTCCGAATCAGGCCTTCTCTGAGGTCCATTTGAAGCCTTGCCTCCTCCAGGGGCCTTCCCCACTGACTTCCCTGAGCACAGGCCCCTTCCATCTCTGAGCAATGTGGATCTGGTACTACTGTGTGTGCAGAGACGAAGCAGAATGCATGGGAAAGGTGGGCCTGGATGGAACTCCAGTTTTTCTAGTTCCCCAGGAAGGTTTCACAAGCTCTCTGGGCCTCTGTTTGCTCATAGGACAAGCTCCTGGGCTTTGCCTCCAGGTTCTCCTGGGCTATCTCCGCAGCTCCTGCAGCTTCCCCAGAGCCTGGCTGCTGCAGTGCATGGCCAGCGGGCTCCCCAGAAGGCTGTGCTGCCAGGGGTTTGGTAGCAGAATGTGCTCAGCAAGATGCCTCCCTGTGAATGGCATTCCAGCTCCCTGGAGGGCGGATTTCCAACCAGACACCACAAGGACTTCTCTGCTATTCTGTGAGCCACGCTGTGCCAGCAAAGTCTGCACCGCAGCTTGGAGCAGACAGGCTCTCCCTTGGGTTCTGTATCTCAGCCCTGGGGTAGTGGACACCTCTTATACACACTATTCCTATGTTCTTTAGAGTTCTCTTTACTTCTTACTAACCCTTTGTTACTCCAGTCTCCTGTTATAGTTAATAATTGTTTACATTTTTCTTTTGAAATTACTGTATGGTTTCTCTCTCCTGCTTAGATCCAGACGGATTCACCTTCCATGTTTGTCACATACCTTTGCTTACACCTGTTCCTCCTCATACTGAGACACTGCCCCCAAATTGCTCAGAATAGGCAAATATCACAGTTTGAGGACCCTTAAGCCCCTGTCCCCTGCCGCTCACAGAAACCCTCCCTAAGCCCCTGCCCACCAGGCCTACTAATCGCCCTGAGCCTCGGGGCACTGATGGTCCATTTTAATGTGCCCCTCGCCACCTGGCGTTGTTAGCTAATGGTTTACATGTGTGTGTTTTATGTCCTCAATAGCCTTAAATGGTGGTTCTCAGCCTTAACTACACAGTTTAATCATCTGGAGATCTTTAAAAAGACAAAATGAGCCCGGCGCTGCGTCTTACCCCCTGGGATTCTGACCTAATTGGTATGGTGAGTTTTAAAAGCTGCTCGGGTGAATCAAATGTGAAGTCAAGGTTAAGAACCAGCAGCTTCTTACGCTTGGGCCTCTTGCACTCTCTCTTGTGATCTCTCTCCTTCGTGCCGCCCGCAGGCTTACTCTTGCCCCTCTGTGCACACTGCTGTAATTTATTGGTTTGAGTTTCTCTTTCGTGGATGGCAGGGATCACTCATGCATTATTCATTTTAAGGAAGACAAGCCTGAGTGCTGCAACAGGCACTTCGCCTAAGTCAGCTCATTTATTCCTCTCAACGACACTGGGCCTCCTGTTGTCCCCCGGCATCCTGCACCCTGCCTGGCACACAGCAGACATTTTATAATTGCTTGCTGAATTGAAGGGGATGGAGTTGAATACCAGCAGGGGGTGGGAATTGTGGTTGTCTTTCCAATATCCATCTTACTCCTTCCCTCTTGCAAAGGCAGCCCCGAGGTTTGGGGGGTTGACTCCAGCTCCAGGATGAACGCTCCTTAATTTAAGCTAATTAGGTTATCCCACCTCTATCGCACCAGTGACTGATTCAGGTGTGGACCTGGGAACCAGGATGAAGCCAATCTGCACCTGGCACTCAGTACACCATAGAGATTGGTCTAGGAATAATTATGAAACTAAATTTAAGCCAGTATCATAAGAGGAGAAGTTGACTGCAAGCTTCTGCAAAAAAAAAAAACAGCTTCCAATTTTTCTCTTCCAAAAGTTTTTGGAACCAACTCTTGCTCTCTTTCCCTGGCGACGGTTGTGTGAAGAGGGAAGGCCGGCTGCTGCAGCCGTCTTGCCAGCAGACTGGGGACAACACAGGCACTGCACGGACGAGGGCAGCACCAGGAGAGTCCCGGCAGGGCTGAGCAGAGCCCTGAGTGGAGCCCTCCCTGCTCTGCCTCATGACATCCTCAGCTAGAGGAGCCGCTTGTCTATCTGCACAGCTTGAGCCATTTTGACCCACAATATTGTTACTTGCCACCCAAGACTTTGGAAATGAAAAGCAAAGTTTCTTTTGAAGTACTCAGTTCACGGGAAACTCTAAACAGATTTGGCCTTGAGGAATGACCTCAGATGGCCCATGGCTATTGGGGAGCTAACTAGAGCCTTCTAATCTAGATCTTCAAAGCCCCCATGGATAAAGTGCTCCTCTAATCCATTAGCATGTTCCTGCCCTAACAAAGGGGCATCTCTGTTGACTGCAAAGGAGGAGGATGTGAGCCTGGGTCTGAATAGCAGAGCTGCTACTCTCCCTGGCATCCAGTTGGTCATCTCTTTCCTACCTCTTCCCCTCCTTGGAGCAGCAGTTCCAACAATAGCAATCATTTACTGGACATGAAATAGGTCCCCAACACCGTGTGACATCCTCAACATACATCATCTCCTTGAGTCTTCATAAAATCTCTGGGAGGTAGATCTTCTATAGTTGCAGATGAGTAAACTTAGGCTTAGAAAGGGGAAGTGAGTGGCCTAAGGCCACACCAGTAGAAAGTGGTAAAATGTGTCTCTACGGTGCGTACATCTATCCATACACAGGACAAGCTGGGGTGTCCTGGTGGTGCCGGTCAGCCTGGTCCAGAGTGAGGCTGAGAGCAAGCTCACTGGGATCCGTCCTCCGGCTCTCCTCAACTGCTCACTTGGCAGCTTTAGTCTCAAAGACCAAACCTGGGGACTCTCTTGGATGCAAAGACATTTTCCTACGTGCTATTTTCCTCAGCAAAATACACTCATGTTCTATGTTTTTGACTCAAGAATTCCAGATCTGTGATATACTATATTTATTAGTGATGAGGCGCCAGGAAATTGATTCAATTAGCATTTTGCAATAGGAGGCCAACATAATATTTGAAATGTATTTACACTCAGGGACAGTTGTGATATAGGATTTAAAAAAATAATAGATGCATTGGAAATCTCTTTCTTTTTAATATCCAGGCTGTCTGCATGAACCACACAGCTCCTGTTAGCATTTGGAAATAAACATGTTTGTGAATCATTTTAAGAAACAAAATAACCTGATTTTGTCCATAAAGAACTGTCTTTAAATGTGTGCAAACATGATTTTGGATTTCTATGTTTAAAGCAGTTGCTATGTGCTTAGCCTTCTGTTAGATTCAGTTAATTTAAGATAGGGACCGTGCTCTTCAGAAACTTAAATTTAGTTGGAGAATAAAGTATAGACACTGTGAAAATAAAATAAAAATATAAGAGTAAATTGTCAGTATAACAGATGTTCTAAGGTGGTACATGATTAATTTCCAAACAGGTGATGTAGACAATGTGTCCAACAGGTATGAGGAAAAAATAACTGTCATTTATTAGGTCCTTGAAACATGGCAGGCTCTTTCATATACTGTTTTATTTAATCCTTAAGAGAGGGATGGTGTTTTTGAAGTCTTAGCCTCTGTTTTTTTTTTTTTCCCCTAGTATTTCTCCCATATTAATGCTATTGGCTTTGAGCTCATTGCCACAGGGAGAGGCGTGGCGGGGAGAGGGGTAGAAAGAGCCTGGAGCTAAGTCTCTGCCTTCGTGTGGCTTCCAGAAACCTAAACTTTGAGGAGGGTGGGGAAGATCTGGGTATGGATCAACCTTTGGGAGAAAATAGAGGAAGAGAATATGGCTTCCCCCCAGAGTTAGAAATGATATTCCAGATGTGGGGGTGGGGGAGGAGGTGGAGGGAGATAAGACATCAGAGGTGCAGAGTGAAGGCACCAGAAGCCTGCTTCCCGGGCTGAGCCCTGGCAGGGGTGTGTGATGCCAACAGAGGATGTTAAACCGGTGCAGCTGGGCAGAGAAAGCATGAGAAGTGGCGGAGATATTTGTCTGCCCCTAAGTAAGGCCAGGCAATACCAAGACAGCTGCCAGCTCTGAAGGACCATCAGTGACTGAGGATCAGAATAGGTGAGCACCATTTCAGTGGACACCTACCTGGAAAGGTGCCTGGAGGCCCCCACCAACACTCTCGCATGCTAAGGAAATGGGAGAATTGTAACTTAGCAGAGGTTAAATCTCCTCCACTCAGGTGGAAAGGGGGCTTGAAATGAAACAAGG